AGGCGCTGGCACATGCCCTCCCACACATACAGTACGACCCAAAACACACACATTTAAGTTCATGTACACGCAGACACTTTGTGCACATGTGCAAACAACATACAGACATTTTAGGCTCTGATGCACATGTTAGCAAAATATGTGAGACTTAACACCAGTAGATTTGAAATAATGTACCTTAATTTTTTACCTACAATTCTAATTTACAGAATTAGACAAAAACGACAGTGATGTACTCATTCAACACTCCTTCATTATGGCAAACATACGTATTACTTAGGTGATTTTAATATAATAGTAATATTGCAATATTTGATTAAGGTTAAAATAGGCTGTTTACTTGTGTTATGCCCGTGCAACCTTCCAAACTGTTGTCTTTGTTCCAGGACCCTTGTTTGAAACATAGATAACAATATTAGATTTGTTTTATCATAAATATCCTCACAGCTTATTTAGCTCGTATAGCTACAATAGGTTTATTAAGATAGAGAACAAGATACAAAAAAGCCTTATAGATTTCAATCTGGAAGTGTTCTCCATTACAATTAGCATGTCATTTGCACTAAAAGGCCCTCAAAACACATACAGACCAGAATTGTATTGAATCCAGACTCATTACAGTGCACCTTGACTAAGCCCCAGTAATTAGCATTGGTAAGGCATTGTACAAGAGGCGGCAACACCCTCATCAACACACATTTACAACAGAGCTCTAAATCTGCTGCTCATTAATAGCTTGCCTCCCAATCAATTATTAACACCTACAATGGGAGCCAGGCTCACCGGGGCCAGGCCTCTCACTCCAGGCAGACCATGGGCCAGCTTCTGCTCCCGGTTCTGTCCAGCGTAGGTAATTACTGCCTTTAAAGACACCTGCTACTCAATAGCTTCGACCCAGACTGTTAATTTGGCCCCCCGATTGCAGACATTTATGTCTGAGTGTCACTATTAATTTGCGTTAATTTGGGAGAGTGTGAGGGAGTCGGGCGGAGGCGTTGTCGGAAGCCGGCTGAATGTGCTCGTCGCTCACCTGCGCCGGGGCTGCGGCTGTAATTGGAGTCTAATGGTCTGATTGATCAGTGAGAGAAGTGAGGGATGAGACGGCACTCTGGCAGCTCCATCAGTCAGACAGAGAGCAGAGCAGAGGAACAGAGGGGAGAACGTGGCTGACAACAGCAGCAACGCCAACTCTTAGTGTTTCATTTTTTCCCCATCTTCTTCCTCTTTCATATTTCTTGTATTGATCTCTGTTACTTGCTTTTGGCCCTTACTTTTCTGGCTTTCTTACCTTTGCCTAGCTTAATACAAAGTGCTTTAACCCGGTCCAGTAAGTTGGTTTTCAGTTCAGAGTTTGGTTTCTGACTTGCAATCTAGTATGGTTAGGGTTAGACTTCTGTTTCTCTGATTAAGGCTTGGCATCTACATTTGTATCATTATCATCTCAAAAACATTACATGTTACATTTGATCTGTATTCGGACCAAAAGATATTAAGTCTTATAGTTATATAGACATTGGTTTTGCACGATGTCTGATATCTGGATCTATTTCAACTCATTTTGGACATCAAGTCTGCTGTAGTGAAACATTTCCTTTATCTTTTTGGCCTGTCATATAGAAAAAAATCACTTTTCTAGCTTGGATTTATTTTTAAAGCCTTTATCTTCCAATACTGATGACCTGTTGTTATCTTTGTGCATCTCTAATAAAGAACGTATATAAAAACACCACAATAAAAAAAGCCTTATGATCCCTCCAACACAATTCAATGTGATTGTGTTAACAGGTCTGCAACAACAATAACTATAACTCCAGCGCCTCATGCCAGGCTGAGCCCTGGGGTCTGCAGACCTGCCACGGCCGACCCATCAGCTGTGAAATCTGCTTTCCTCTTTGATAAACGGTCAAGATGTGACCCTATCTATGTCCTGCAGATGCCCAGATTTCCTGTCATGCTTTTTCCCCCTCTGTGTTTTCTGCTTCCTCCCCTTCTCCCCCCACTCTCCCCTGCTCTCCTTTTTCATTCTTTCTTTTTCAAGCTTTACACCTCTCTTTCCAGGCCTGTCTGAACAACTGCATGCAACGCTCCACTCACTGTTCTTTTTCTCAGCATCATCCATCACTCCGGTCAGCTGCTGAGGCCTGTCTCCCCCCAGCAGCCAGCCCACATATCGGCTCCCACGCCACGGCACATACAGCTAGCTCCAGCTCCTGCTCCCATTTGCTGTCTCCAGGGACCGGTGACCCTCCCCTCCTCCCCCATCCTTCCCCACCTCTCCATCAGACTCCACAGGACGACTCCCCAGACACCATCCGGACCCGCTCCTAAACGTCTCTGCTTGAGCCAAAGTGCTACTCATGTCCAGTTGAATGCTTAAATTCACCGTATTTTCATTATTTACTATAAGCCACTTTAAGAAGACATTACTCCTCCGGGCACAATGCCAAGAGTTGCCAACCTGTGCACCGTACACGGCGGCTCGACCAAAATAGCTTGACCTCTAAAAAGTAATATCTTAAATGACGTGTCTGGATGAAGGGATAAAATATGTTTGATTTCAGAGAGGGCATATCAATATCTCAGCAGCGGGTCGTGTGTTCCAGGCATGAGAGAGGTGTCACTCCTGCCATATACTCGGGTAATTCATTCACCTCAATGGATTCAAAAAATCTAAGAGAGTGAAAGGACATTTAATAGTCTGTGGAGGTCACACTTCATAAGAATGACTGAGACCCGTGAAGCAATGAGCCTTTATTTCTACCTCAAACGCTTTCTGCTGCCTTTCTGACCCTCCTCTGGACGCCCCTGACACGCATCAAAACTAGCCCGGCTTTTTTTCCCCTTCTTCTTCTTTCTCTTCTCACACTTACATTTTTGTTATTTCAACCTCTCCAGGTGTGGCATCAGGGATCTTGTCTTGATATGTCAGTGTTTGAAGATTTCCACAACTCCCTCGCCTCCCACTGAAATAACTGAGATAAATGCGGCTCCACATTACAGATGTTGCCAACGGCTGCGTGTTTAACAAGGCAACAGCTCAATAACTGCAGGTTTCTATTTAAACAAAAATAAAACTATGCTTCTGTAAGTGATACGATTCCCCCGCGATGTACAACATACCAGAATTGGCTGATATTTTCTGGCTTAAGGAACAAAGTTAAAAACCCTAAAAGGAGGCTCACTAAAACAAAACATGCCAGTTGGGTTGACCTAGCCTTTAATGAGAGATAGTGAGAAGCTGCTAACAGCCACTACCCCATTTGAGAGATGAAACTTAAGAGAGGAGGAGTGCAAGCAGCAAAGCATTGAGAGGAGCCCCAGGAGAATAGACACACATGAGATCCTTAAAGGCAATGTGCCAAAGCTTCTTCCTCGGCTTTTAATTGCGAGGGGGGTTAGGCATATTCTGTAACCCCTCCACAGCCTATTACAGGTGATGACCAGCACCTGCTTGCTTCAAAAAAAAGAAGAGACAAAACCTAAGGAGGATGTGGAAAAGTGGCGATGAATTCCTGAGAGGGCAGTTAGTTAGGAGCCAAGAGCAACAATCAGTTTGTGCATCTAGTTCAGCATGCAGTGTGAATAATTTGTAAAGTTTGTATATACCAAAAGCACCAACAATTCAAAGAGATAAAATACATGACATCACTTGGCGAGAGTCATTTGAGGGACAGTTGAAGGTTGGTATTGGATGCCTTTTTCAGGGAAATCCATGCCGAGATTGCTGAAAAAATATATCTTGAGCGTTACTTTGCAAGGCAACTTGAGGTGTTGCTCTGTACAAAATAATTGTTCTGCCCAAGGATAACTGGCTTTACCCTGAGAGAAGCCGTATTTCATGGCTATAATACGGCCTGAGTTATTGAAAGCCACTGATGACTTCAAAACCAAGAGGGGAGCTTAGAAAACAGTCGTGACTGCTCTGAAAACGATTTAATAAAGTTTAAGGAATCTGGGAAAACGCGTGGAGGGCCTCTGATTCCCACAATCCTCATGGACTGTTCCTTATGTTTCCTAACAGGATGAATGGAAGCTTGGTTACAATTTTAATGGGAATTTCTTAATTAATCCGAATGCAGAATGAGGAATCAAACCCGTGGAGGGCTTGTCACTCCACCAGAGCAGCAGGTCAACACAAGCCTCTGCTGGGATCTTTTGGAACAAGAGATATAAAAGCTGCTGTGTGCAGGGTAACATCAAAAATAATGGATTGTGACTTCACTCAACTGAAGCCTGGACTGAGCTCAAAATCCACAAATTAAAGGTGTTTTGTCATAAAATATGCAGATTAAATGGTTAAAATGGATGTACTTCAAAGGCTTTTGTTGTGGGCCAGTTGGATCCCGCCACAGTCACCTCAGTATGTTTGCCTGTCATGGGAATTACCATTAATATGGTCTTCAGATAGTACTGTAGGACTTACGAGTAATCATGTTTCCATGATTGCTAAAGGCAAAGTTAGACTAAATGAAGTGATTTTAGTCGAAACTAAATCCTATAAAATATGGCATCATTTATAACATATTTTTTAAATTTGTGTAAATAGTGGCTTAATAGTGGTGGATAAATCAATCAATTTTTATGTCAGTAAAAAAAGTCCTCACATGTACCACACCGATAGACAGTTTGACCACTTACCTTGTGAAATGTGCTTCAGAGCAAAGTTCATTTATAATAAATGAGTAAGATCAAATAAATGTATAATACCTTGCAATTAACCTTTAAATAGAGCCCAATCAGTTTTGTATGTTACAGCTTGGACAGCCAAGGAAGAACTTGGTTTTCAGTGGTTTCATATCAGGTACAATTTATTTTTCACTTGGGTTACAATTGCCATATGGGCCATTTGGCGTTGGTATATAGTAAAGGTCTGTGTTGTCTCAGTGCCCTACTAGTTGTATTAATTGTATCCATTTGTTTCTAACCATCAAGTTTGTTGTGGTGAAAAACTAAATGTTTCTCAAATATTCAATTTGATTCAGTAGATGATTAAAACATACCAGTGTAGTGTTTTCAGGGTTCATCTCGATCTTCCCCTCGAACGGTCCCCACGTGGTCCCCACAGGGAGCTCCTGCCGGGTGTGGATCCGACGCTCGCCTTCTTTAAGGAACGCATCCAGCTCTCCTAGAAACAAAGCAGAAACCAAAGCAGTGAGCCTTAGTGCTCCAGCGCACAAGTTCCACATCAATCACAGTGACGTTCATTCGTTGTCCTTAAACTCAAGCCTACATATGCGATTATATGATTGCCTCAAAGCTCTGCGGTAAACAGTGAAGGTTACAGCCAAGGGTCTTTTCAAAATGGATAAGCAAATCAAGTGAGCATCCATCTGATGGTGTTCCTCAGACACATGGCGCGCTAACCTTACTTGAAAGGTGTCTTGTGTGGAGATAATCTCTGTGAGACAGTGCAGGCTCGCTGGCTTGCGAGAGCAGCTAGTGGCAGGCTTATTTCTGTTGCTCCAGGAAGACTGGGGCCTTGTTAGTGCTGTGCAGAGCTCCAGTTAATTAACAGTGAAACCGGATAGCACTGGAAGAACTACCGGTGCTCACCTCCCAGTCACCCCGCACTATCTTATCTCTTAGATTCAGTGTACTTTTTTGGGATGGTGATTAATCAAATAGTTATGATAAACCCCTTGGCAGGCCGTGACATAGTTTTCCAGAGAGGATGTTTCCCTGCGTCTTGGTGTGTGCAAGTGTCTACGACTGTGTGTCGAAAGGTTCTCAACTGTAGATTTCCGTCTGGTTGCCTTGACAACTCTGAGAAGTCTTGTTAGAGGAAGTGTGATAGTTCAGACTTCTGTAGCTACAAGTTATATCTGATTTGATAAACTTTCTGGACACAAGAAGTTCCACAAACTGAAACAAAGGACGTTTGAATCAGGTCTGAGCATCGACTGTGTTTAAGAAGCGGACAAAGTCACCATGATGGCACCCATTGGTTTAAGGAGTCCAATTATAAGGCCTAAACTAAAGTCTATTGTTAGAGCCATCACTAAAAACATTTTTGATCCAGAAGTGAGAAGTGAGAGTACAACCAAACTAAAACAAATGTAACAAGACATTTATAGAAGACCAAAATGTACACACTTTAGGTTTTCTTGGATGAAAAGGGTTTAAAAATGTAAAACTACTTATTGAGAACATAAACATATTTACTAAGGTCAGATATTAGGGCCAGCTTCGGAAAATCATCATTATTCTGGGGTCCTTCAACATAAAGATTGACCTTTTACAAGGAAGCCAACCTGCCAGAAATTGATTATCTAGCCAGGCAAATAAATCTAATGTATTAGTAATCAAACAAACTCTACATGAGTTGTAAACATTGTGTCTTTTAACCTATTTGTCCACACATGTGGCTAATAGGTATTCAGGGCATTCAGTTCATGCTGGATGGGCTTAAGCAATCACTGAACTTTCTGATGCGTATGTGGTATAATGACCTATTCAGCCCTGTTCTACTTGGTAAATATCAGCCGTGTATCTGCGGCACGCTATTGTGTCCCTCTGTTGTGCTAATATGGAAATGTACGCTTATGTGCTCCTTTGCATGCATAGACATGATCAAAACATCAGGTATGTATTATTACCCTCTACAAATGATGTCTCTTTCATAATATACTCATTGGTGGTGGTCACTACACAAAAAGCTAAATGTCAGCCATAATAAAAATTCCCTTGTTTGACCACATCTTACGTAAAAAAACTGCATCACCACCACATGGTCTAAGCACAAGTAATTTTTAAGAGGAAATGCAGGCACAGTTTTGGAATAGACCCAACAATAAGATAATCTGGACAGCGTTATCTCGTTCTTTCTTTCACTCTGTCTCCCCTCCCGTGTTCCATGCAGTCTTCCCGGTGCTGCAGTGGAAGGTGGCTAAGCTCATTACAGAGAAATAATTAAACATTGGTGCACAGCTGGTCGTCATCACGGAGAGCAACAGCCACCGCTTGATGCATTCTGTTTGTCCTCAGATAAGACCCACGGCCTTTAACCGCTTGGATGCAAGTTCCTGTTGAGCCCCGCTTGACAAACAGCACAAGCCATCCTCAGCCAACGATTCTGATTCCTTTCCTTTACCCTTTCTTTCTTTTCTTGGGGGTGGGATGCTTGGACAAAACGGGGGTAATGTAGGTGCAGAAAAGGGGGGGAAAACCAGGGTTCGATTCAATTTGTGCAGTTTGTCGTCAGCCATGTTTAGATGCCAGTTGTGTGCATCTCTCACCAAATGTTGCCTGAGGACCTTGGCTCACAGATGGCTTGTCACATCTGTTGCAGATACTGGTGGAGGATCTCCACAAAAACACGCGTGGATGAATAATGAGATTCCTTCATGTACTGTCTGCTTGTTCCCTATGAGCATTTGAAAGTTTAGTAATATTGAAGACATTTACCGACAGATGTGCTCTGTTATCAACTGGGCTAGTAACATTTTTTTGAATTATGGTGGAAAAAACTGTTGATGATTTAATGTCCTACAAGCCCAACAATCCCAACTCTTTTACAAATACAGAAATCACCTTTCCAACAAGAATGGACTAATAGAAGAACCCAAAGCCGGTGTCCTTATTCAACGCTCCTCATCATCTGATTCTCAAATGCCACACACTTGGCAAAACAGAGCTTGTGATGTGGCTCAAGAGCTGTACCCCCTCCTCCAACCAGACCCTCTCTGCTACCTTCACCCTCTGCACCCCAGACCCCCTCCTCAACCCTACCACCGACGCCCCACCCTTCCCTCGATAAGATCATCATCTGTCACTAGACTCTAGGGTCTGTTCCTGCACTCCATAGATACTTGGCAACCCTATGAATGTCCCTTTGTGTGGAGAGATCCTCCTCAGATAGCACCCAAGATGCGCCACGCTGGCATCTGTTTGTTTTGAGTTTTTTTGTGCTTTTTTAATGTGTGTCCTGTCTTTCTTTTCTGTTATGGTTTATAGGAATAGGGAACCTCATCTCTCCCTATAATGGCACAAGACTGAATACTAATGAGTTACTTAGTGGCAGGATGCCAGCCTGGTATGATTTAAAAGATAACTGGAATGTTGACTGACAGAGACCTTAAAACAGTTGAACAATCTCTTTATACTTCTAAATGGTATTGTTAGATATTTAAGTGTCAAATAACAATAATTTCCATATCAATTAATCTGCCTATTATGTTACGGATTCATCAATTGTTTGGTCAACCTTCATTTAGACAAACAGGTTTGATATAAGTCTACAACTGAAATGCTCTTAAAATTGCCTTTTTATTTTAAATGCAATGACAAATTCACATATGATATCAGTGCGAATGACTATTAACCACATGAACTGTAAGCCTGATTTCCTGATATCTCTACTGGCCCAGAGTAAGGTAGTGGTCACAGATGACAAATGACATCATCAACTTGCTACCGTAGATTAACATTTGTTAAATAAATAGATCAGTTTGGGCTACTTTCAACATGAATTTGACTTCTCTAACTACTTCACCGAACAAAGTCAAAGGAAAATACATTTCCTGTGAATATTTGGTTTACTCCACCTTATATCTTAAGTAAGGAGAATTATGGGTAACAAAGAATGACACCAGTAGAAACAATTGCGAAAATAGGTTTGAGCTTCAAACGGCAGATGATCCCTATTGATATCAAGCAGTACCTTTGATTCAGAGCATATAAATGTCTGCTGTTCAAAGTTCAATAACCTGTGCGTGGCAATTCACAGATGTCCTACTGAATCCCAGTCATCTCCGCTGACAAGCTGCGTTATAGAGCCCGCAAATGGGCTATAAATTAATATACCATGAGAGAGGCATATGGGGTGAAATGGAATGTACTGTATCGGTTCAACAAAAGGTGCCACATCTTTAAAGCAGATATGTGATATGAAATTTTACAGCTGAAAGAGAAATGTCACAGAGCTCTGATAAGAGAGCGATGAACTTTCTTCCCCCCCTACCCAAACCGCTATTATCAGGTCCTAGTGAGCAAAATGCATCATTTATAACCCACAACCCTATTATCTCTGAGCAACGCACTTTTTTTAAAACAGTGGAGGACCCTCACCACCATCATCTCCTCCTCACCCTCCTCCATCTTCCCCAGACCCACTCTAACCCGCCTATATGTGGCTGCTTCTGGCCCTGAACAGCTGGGAGAAAGTTAACAACCGTAGGAGTTTGGTCACGTGAGGAGGGGGGGTGATTTGGTAGTGGGGTTCACCCCTTCAGGTCAGGCTTGTTGTCAGGCTGTGGCGGGCTTGGGGGGAAAGAGTTAAACAAACCAAAGGGATTAGGGCCTTTTAGCTGTGACACTCCACTCAGGCTGAGCAGGGGGCTGGGGGGGCCGTTGTGGAGGGATTGGAAGGGGCGGAGGACTCAAATCCCCCTCTTGTAGAACGACCCAACACAGTATTGTTTTTAAAGACACAGCTAGCAATACAGGTGTTTCAAGCCCACCGCCAGACAAAGATATCCATATTGGACCTGAAAAAAACAACAGAATGTATTCAATGTTTATGCTTTTTAAATGTGTGGTGTCTACATTATATCTGCAAGTGGATAAAAAAGGCAAAAGTAAGACAATTTGTATTTCTGCTGGAGAGTTGGAAAGTAAAAGCTAAAACCTACAAACAATTAATTTCAAAGCTACAGCTAGCAGCTGGTTAGCTGAGCTTCGCTTAGCATAAGGACTTGACACAAGGGGAAACCATTAGCTTAATGTATTACAACGTGGTGAATCTGCCAACAATCACCTCACTAGTAATTAACTGATCTAATTTGTTTTATTCGTACAAAAACAGGAGTTTAAAAAAGGCAAACTGCCTTTTTACAAGGGGTCATGTGGCCAAACATGCTTTTGCTTGGCTCTGAGCAGTAACTAGCTAAACAACAAATACATAGAAAGAGTTCAGTATACACTTTGTACTGTAAATGTTGTTGTTTGTCCGGTTCGAAAGAAAATGGCCATGCCATTGTTAGCTTGCATTCACAGTTCTTTGCTATGACATCAGTAGACATAAAAATGTCATCTACTCTGAACATCCTGCTATCTGGATTTGAATCGGAATGTCGGTTCTACTCTCATTCTGTTTCTATGTTTAACACACAACCCCTCCAAAAAATG